CGAGATCGTGACCTGGCTGAAGTCGGACGCTTAACCGACTGCGCCACCCAGGCGCCCCTATTATTATTTTTTTTAATCAGACCTATTTTTTATTTTTATTCATTTTTAGTACAATTTATTGTCAAACTGGCTTCCATACAACACCCAGTGCTCATCCCAACAGGTGCCCTCCTCAATGCCCACCACCTGCTTTCCCCTCTCCCGCCATCCACCCTCAGTTTGTTCTCTGTATTTAAGAGTCTCTTATGGTTTGCCTCCCTCCCTCTCTGGAACTCTTTTTTTTCCCCTTCCCTTCTCCCATGGTCTTCTGTTAGGTTTCTCAAGATCTACATATGAATGAAAACATGGTATCTGTCTTTCTCTGACTTATTTCACTGAGCATAATACCCTCCAGTTCCATCCATGTTGCTGCAAATGTCAGGATTTCATTCTTTCTCATTGCCAAGTAGTATTCCATTGTATATATAAACCACGTCTTCTTTATCCATTCGTCAGTGGATGGACATTTAGGCTCTTTCCATAATGTGGCTATTGTTGAAATTATCATGCTTTATTAGAGGTAACTAGAAACCACCATGTCCATTATGAAATCACGGACTTCAAGGTAAAAAGGAAGCAGACTTCAATCTGATGCTACGGCTAGAAAGACAACGCTTCCCTGCACAAGTGATGTGCTCCCCATCATCCAACCACAGCCTCCCCAGCCTGCGAGCACAGGAGGTGGACACAGGTTTGGGAGGAAGGAAAGGCTGATCTCTCTTACATTTCTAGTAAGTCCAAGTCAGGGGCCTCTGGTTCCATGGTGGAAAAGATCATAACTCCTACCAGCTCGTCTTTCTCAGCCTTCCTCTTCCCAGTTTTCCATTCCTGCAAATAAGAACATTATAATGTTACCGTGGACAGCACAGTCTTTCAAAACTCCCTAATGCGATTGGCTCACTGACTATCTTTCTAATTGTCGACAGCAGCTCCCATGCCATCGCCCTCTCCACTGAGGGAGTGTGCACACTCCAGATGTAATCTCTGTACACGAAACACGTGCCGATGTGCAGAACGGTCCCTGTGAGCCCAAGTCCCTTCAGAGCGAGGGGACTCAATCCCTATCCTTTCCCAACGCACAGCAATATAACAGTGAACACGAACACACCCTATATTCCTGACCAAGTACCTCAAAGTTTTAGGTTAAATGTTTTCTTAAAAAAGGTGAAACCTTTTCTAAAATATAAGATAGGAACCAATATTATGAGCTATTTTTAAAAAAAAAATTTTTTTTTGTAAGACAGATCTATAAAGATCTACACACACACACACACACACACACACACACACACACACACACACAAAAGCGCCTAAAGCCATAATATACAGTGCGACCAATTCTCACAAAGTGTAAGATAATAGCTGTGTAACCTACCCCAAGGCCAAGAGAAACAAGCTGGCATTCCAGAAGGCCCCTCGTGTCCCTTCCCAGTCCTGACCCCTGCCCTCCCCCACAAAGGTAACCACTATCCTCTTTTATAGTTACCAGTTCCTCACTTTTCTTTCAAGTTATACCCTCTAGACACAAGTCCCTCATGGGTAGGTTGGCTGGGTTTCCGAGCTGGTGAAGACCACCCTACCATGTATTCTTTGTGTCTGGCTTTTTTGGCTCAACCTGTGCTTAGGAGCTACAGCCACATTGTTGGTGGAGCCACAGGTCATTGGTTCCATTCTTGCCTGAACACTCCCCAGTTTGTTCATTCTACTACGGGTAGCCACCCGAGGCCCTGCGGGCAGGAGGGCGGTGGTTGAGCAAGATGTTATGTACATGTGCCCTGATGCGGGCAGAAAATGTTCGCCCTAGTAGGTAACGCTGGGTGACTTTCCAAACTGGTCTTACCCATTTGCACACCCACCAACAGGTGTGACTGAGCTCACTAAGACACTAGGTTTTTAGTTCAGCCATTTCTGGCTAGTGGGTAGTACTATTCTCGGTACTTCTGATTTGCATTCCCGTGATGACTAATGAGATTAAGTACTTTCCCATACATTCGTTGATGACTGAGATACTGTCTTTTGTGAAGTACGTTACCAAGTCAACCCTACAACTGGGCTGATTATCTTTCTTACGGATTTGTATGTGTTTTCCTATATTCTAAAAGGCAGCCCTTTAGTTGGTTCTAAATGTTCGTAACTTTAGCTTGTTTTTCACTTTTAAAGGCTTCTTTTGATACACAGCTGTTCTTAATTTTAATGCAGTCTAATTTATCAACCTCTTCCTGTGTGATTAGTCATTTTTGTGTCATATTTCAGAAATCCATCCCTCCACTAGGGGTATGAAGATATTCCCCTATGTTACCTTCTAGAAGCTTTATGTATTGCCTTTCACATTAGACTTGCAAACCACCTGGAAATGATTTTTTTAAAAACTCTATACAATGGAAACTTCCAAATACATATAAAAGTACACAGAAAAGTCTAATAGTTCCCCTCTCAGACTCAGCTGCAAAACAAATATCAACATTTGCCAATCTTGTTTTTTCTATTCTTCTCCATTCTGCATTTTTTCCCTTGATTTTACTGGAAGTCCCAGATATGGTATCATTTCACCTATAAATACCTTTTTTTTTTTTTTTAAATGTTTATTTATTTTTGAGAGAGAGAGAGACACACACAGAAGCAGAAGCAGACTCCGGGCTCTGAGCTGTCAACACAGAGCCTGATGCAGGGCTTGAATCCATGAACTTTGAGATCATGACCTGAGCCGCAGTTAGATGCTTAACCAACTGAGCCACCCAGGTGCCCCTCACCTATAAATACCTTATATAGAGAAGGCTATTATATGACTTTAATACAGAAGACCACATTTTCAAAATACATAACCACAACACCAATGTCAACCCTAACAAAATCCATAGTAGACTGTTGTGCGGTAGGGACCAAATTTCATTTTTCCCCAACGAAGCCACCCAAGTGACCCAGCACCATTCACTGGAAAGACTGTCCTATCCCCACTGGACTTTGTGTGTCCCTTCTATTCTGTTCCACTGATCTATTTGTCTGGCCTTATGCCAATGCCATGCTTTTAAAGTTAGTTTAGTTTTATAACAGGTCTTAATATCCAATAAAGCCCTCTTCCTACTTCATTCTTTTTCAAGGGTACCTTGGCTAGGCTATTCTTAGTGCTCTGATTTTCCACCTGTGGCATCTTTTCTGTTCCCCAATCCCATGGAACACTTAGCTAGGTTTTCTTTTATTTCTCTCAAAAATGTTTCACAGCTTTTTTTTTTTTTTTTAAGGTTTACTTATTTATTTTTTGAGAGAGAGAGAGCCAGAGAGAGAGTGAGTGAGCTGGGAAGGGGCAGAGAGAGAGGAGAGAGAAATCCCAAGCTGTCAGCACTGAGCCCGATGTTGGTCTCAATCTCACTAACTGTGAGATCATGACTTAAGCCAAACCAGGAGTCAGATGCTTAACCGACTGAGTCATCCGGGCACTCCTTATAGCTTTATTTTTAAGTTTATTCATTTTGAGAGAGAGAGAGAGAGAGAGAGAGAGAGCAAGCACACGCATGCAAGCAGGGGTGGGCAGAGAGAGAGGGCGAGACAGAATCCCAAGCAGGCTCTGCACTGTCAGCACAAGCTCGACATGGGGCTCAATCTCACAGTGAGATCATGACCTGAGCTGAAATCAAGAGTTGGATGCTTAACCAACTGAGCCACCCAGGAACCACCACATCAAAGCTTCTTATGTAGAGTTTTTTGTACATTTTCTTGTATTTATTCCTAGATATATTTTTGATGCTACTGTGATAGTTTTTTTTTAGATTTTCATTTTGTGTTTATTGCTGGTATGCAAATATGTGCTGTCTTGCATCCAGCTATCTTCTAACCACTTATTTCTAATAATTTCTCCTCGGGTCTTTGGGATTACCTACGTCCATCCATCTACATGAGCTATTTCTGGCCAAAGAATCACAGCTTTCAGTGAGTATCTAGTTTTACACCCTCATTTAGCAGGTGAAGAAACTGTGACCCAAAGAGATCAAATGCTGAGGCCAAGATCGCAGAGGGAGCCTGCAGCAGAGCCCAGACTAGAGCTCAGGTGTCCTGACTCCCAGGTTTTTTCTTCTTCCTATTATATCAAATCCTAAATCCCCAGTGTCCAGATTTCTTTTTTTTTTTTAAATAATAATATTCTGTATTGAACACAACCTTTAGAAGCGCTTTCTAAATCAAATCTTTGGAAAATCAGGACTTCTGTTTGAGCCTTGTGCGTACCAGCAAGGCAAGAAAGTTGGGAAGGGATTCCATGCAGTTTTCGTGTCTCCACAGTAACAGAACTGATGGACAGAACTCCCTCAAAGAACCTAGTTTCACCACTGTATGATTTCACGGCACACTGTGACTGACATCACCTCTCACCAGACAAACCAGACTTGTCCAAAGCAGGTGCAAGTCTAGACCTACAATCTTGACCAAAAATTGCTGAAGCACCTCAGTGTTTTCTAGTTCCTGGCCTGGTTACATGCCACACACTCAAATAAGCGTGCCAATTCTAGAAATAAGCAGTAACTGAAAATAAGGCCCAAATAATTGTACAATATTAAGTGTATGCGTAGGTCTGTAAACATACACAGAGCCTGATTATTTACACTTATTATAAATGTGTTCATGTTAACAAGGGAAAAGTACTACAAAGCAGTTTAGCAAGTAAATCTCTGCCTGAAAGTTCCAACAAAGTATATAATATTCCGGTATTTAATTTAATAAAACACGAAAATAATTTCATGACTTTTTTTCTAGGACTGTAATATATTTCCTATCTCCTATAAAAACTTATGCTTTTATTCTTTACATTGCTTTCTAAGATATGTCATCTTTGTTGTAAGAGAAACATGGAGAAAACATCTTTCAGAATAAAAAGGTACAATTTAGAGCAAAAGTTTATGGAGAGAGAGAACCATCTCCAAAGTAGACAATAATGAGATGTTAAACAGCCAATGGTTTCTTGACCTTCAACAAAGAATACATGGCCATTGGCAGAATGACTATATACAGGACAAAGGGAGACCAGCATTTAGTCTGGACTTGCGACTACCGTTCTGGAAAAACGCCTTGGCTTGGAGAAGGCTGGTCCAATGCTGAATCTACTTTTTGTTTCATAACGTTATTACACTGCAAGATCAAAATGTGATCTTAAGAAATCATTCACTCTGTTTCCCTCACTTCACACTGATAATATCCTGCATAGTTTGGGGCCTATCCTATTTTTAAAAGCATCCAGGAAAAATTTTCATTCCTCATCCTATCATATCCTTCACCTCCTGCCCACTCTGGTCCAATCCATTCCCAGCTGATGGAAAACCATTCTGGCAAGCGGTTCTTCCACATTATCATGACTAATTTCCCATGCTTAGGATTTAGGTTTCTGTCCCCTCATTGTCTTTGGAGGAAATGAGAAATAGCGAGTCAACATAATTTTAACTTTCAGACATAAAATTGGTATGAATGTGACAATTCTCAATATGATCAATGACTGTCATAACAAAAGGTCCTACCTTTTCATCTCGGAAATTTAGAAACTGCTGGAAAACCTCACTTTCTGAGATGACTGGGTGACGACACATCCTGGTCACCCATGCCTGAAGTCTCTCCATGCGCATCTTGATAAATTCTTCTTCAAAGCGACCTGCAAGGTGGACAAGAGTGATATACACCCCTGTCTAAAGCGGATTACTGTCAGCACAAATGAAAGCCGTTTGTATCTACTGGGTCTTTGATAGAAAGTTATTTAGTACAAGGTAAAACCATAGTGATCTTTCACTAAACTAAAAACACTAACCTAAAAACAAGCTGTAACACAGCGGATGCTCAAAGAGCTACAGGAAAGAGATACAACAGGCTTTTTAGTTTTTAAGGATGAGATTCTGATTTAACAGATTAACAAATTTTGTAGCTGTGACAAGAAAAATCACAGCTACAAAGTACTATTTTCTTCAAGGATCCCTGAGTATTCAACAAATTTAGAAGCAAATCTTATCTAAGTATGAAAAACTTCCTCTTTCTGATAAACTAAGACTATGCCAGTCCTGCGTGGCCATATGAAGTCTGTAGGCAGAAAGGCATGAAAGAATGGAATTTAATAAGTAATCCTTACAAAGTGTGTAAAATTTTTATATCTATAAAAATGTGTCCAAATGCAATATAACCTCAAATTTAGTATTTATGAAAAGTAGCTCAAGACCGTAGCTCTTTATTTCATTGTTTTTTAACGTACTTAAACCAAAAATAGAAAAAGCAATTTTTCCACGAATGCAATAAAGCTACTATCCCAGAACTTATGACCATTCTAAAACATAGCCAAATGAGTGATATTTCTGTTTTAAAAGCAGGAAATCAGCCTAACAAGCCTGACATACCAAACATCAAGTGAACACTGAAAATGTTTTAAGTCCACCAATCAAAATCTCTGTTCGTTAAAAGGCTCCTGGAGATGAAAATACCAGCTACAGTTGAGTGAGGCAATCAGCTATTCCCATCCCCCCAAAACAATTATAAAGCTGGACAGAACCCAGAACCAAAAATAAGTGTTCTGGAAATCAACCAAAGGCAAACAGCCATGTGAGAAGTGTTCATACTTGCAAAGCTGCCGAACTTTATGGAAATCTGTGGCGTTCTGTCTGGTGTGGGGCTGCTCTCAGCTCCCCTGTGGCCCCTGTACCTCCCCACCCTCTCCCTGGTTGACATGGAGGTTCTGACAGTGTAGAGCAGACTGTGAATGCGAAGGCTGGCCACTGCAGGTTCCCTGGCGAGCAAAAAGGCTCACTTGACCTGGAGCAGGGGGACGTGCTCATACTCAGTGGTGGTGGCAGTGACAATCCAGAGGCTGGGGAACAGAGAGGGCCAATGACCCCACTAGCCAAGGTTGTCTGGTCCAGCCAAGCATTTTCCGGACTGAGGCTGCGTGCAGAAACAGTGGAGACCAGATGGAATCCGAGTCAGCCACACATTCCTGGCCAATTCTGAGGCTGCACACACTTGTAAAGGAGACACAAAAGGTCCGCAAAAAAGTAAAAGCCAGGGTGGCTAACGTGAAAATTACCTGATCTTTGAATGCACTCCCCTACCCAAAGATCCATCAGCAGAGGACAGAAGCCGTACTGGCTTGAGGCAGGCTCACTGCTAATCTACACAGACACAAGGGTGAGCCCCAGGGAGCCAAACTTAAAAGAAAAAATAAAAATAACTGAACTTTAGGGGAGAGACAATTCAGAGACTTGGCCTAAGCAAATTACTTCCCAAACAATCAAATAAACATAAAGTAGAAACAACAACCTTCAGAGATGAAAAATCAGAATTGAGAATTGCTAAAATATATTGTCTAAAATTTTCGGTTTTTGACAAAAAATTAAGAGATGTGCAGAGAAAAAGCAAGGTATAACCCATACCGACAAAAAAGTAGTCAACAGAAACCATCTCTAAAGTGTCCCTGGATGTTGAATTTAGCAGGCAAAGCAGCTTCCAGAAATACATTCAAAGAGCTAAAGTCATGTTTAAAAATGCAGAGAAATAGGACACGGAATCAAACAATAAAAATTCTCTAGAAAAAGAACTTACAAATAAATAGAATGAAATGTTTAGAGCTGAAAATACAGTAACTGAAATTAAAAATTCACTGTAGAGGCTCAAATGCAAATTCAAGACGGCGGAAGAAGGAATCAGTGAATCTGAAGATAGTGGTTTATATACGCAATGGAATACTACTTGGCAATGAGAAAGAATGAAATATGGCCTTTTGTAGCAATGTGGATGGAACTGGAGAGTGTTATGCTAAGTGAAATATGTCATACAGAGAAAGACAGACACCATATGTTTTCACTCTTATGTGGATCCTGAGAAACTTAACAGAAGACCATGGGGGAGGGGAAGGAAAAAAAAAAAGAGAGGGAGGGAGCCAAACCATAAGAGACTCTTAAAAACTGAAAATAAACTGAGGGTTGATGGGGGGTGGGAGGGAGGGGGGGTGTGGGTGATGGGCACTGAGGAGGGCACCTGTTGGATGAGCCCTGGGTAGTGTATGGAAACCAATTTGACAGTAAATTTCATATTAAAAAAAAAAATTTATAAGAAGTAAAAAAAAAAAAAGTTATCTAATCTGAAGAACAGAGAGAAAAAAATGGATGAACCATGCTTCAGAAAACAAAACACGTGAACATACTTGCAGTGGGAGTCCACAAAGGAGAAGAAGAAAAAAAATATGTGAAGAAATAAAAGGGAAAGTTTCCCAAATTTGATGGAAAATTTTAATCTGCATTTCCAAGACGCTCAACAAACCTGGATAGGATAAATATGAGGATGAATCCACACCAAGATACAGCAGAATCAAACTGTCGAAAGACAGAAACAAACCCTGACAGCAGCAAGTGAAAAATGACTCATTTTGTATAGTGGAATGTGCTCGTGTGTGTGTGTGTGTGTGTGTGTGTGTGTGTGTGTGTGTGTGTGTGTAATCAAAAGAACTGACTGATTTGTCATCTGACACAAAGGAGGTCAGAAGCAACGGAAAGACATATTCATCATGCTGAAGGAAAACAGTCAGCTGTGAATTCTATAACCAGCACACTTATCCTTCAAAAATAAAGGCAAAATGAAGACATTCTCAGATGAACAAAGATGAGAGAATTAACTGATAGCAGAGCTGTATTAAAGAAATACTAGAAGAAGCCCTTCAGGTTAAAAAAAAATACTACGTCAGGCTAAAAGGAAATTACCTAAATTCACAGGGAGAAATGAAGAGCACTAGGAATATGTGGGCTAACATAAAATATGTATTCTTTTCTAATTTCTTCTCTTCTTTAGAAGACATAAGATTGTAGAAAGCAATAATTATCATACAATATTGCTGGATTTATGATATATATGATGACAGTAGCATAAAAAGAGGGAATCAGAGCTATAATGGAGAAGAGTTTCTATCAATTTTATTAGAATTGAGTATTAATCTGAAGTGCATTGTAACATTACAAAAAAGATGTACACAGGGGCACCTGGGTGGCTCAGTCAGTTGAGCGCCCGACTTCGGCTCAGGTTATGATCTCATGGTTCGTGGGTACGAGCTCCATGTTGGGCTGTGTGCTGACAGCTCAGAGCCTGGAGCCTGCTTAGGATTCTGGGTCTCCCTCTCTTTCTGCCCCTCCCCCACTCGCACTCTGTCTCTTTCTCTCAAAACTAAACATTAAAAAAAAGTTTAAAAAAAAAGATGCACGTAGTATCCTCCGAGGTAACCACTAAGAAAATAATTTTTAATTTTTTTTTTTTCAACGTTTATTTATTTTTGGGACAGAGAGAGACAGAGCATGAACGGGGGAGGGGCAGAGAGAGAGGGAGACACAGAATCGGAAACAGGCTCCAGGCTCTGAGCCATCAGCCCAGAGCCCGACGCGGGGCTCGAACTCACAGACCGCGAGATCGTGACCTGGCTGAAGTCGGACGCTTAACCGACTGCGCCACCCAGGCGCCCCAGAAAATAATTTTTAAAATTTAGTGGAAAAGTGAGAGAAATTAAAACAGCATATTGGAAAATATTTAACGCAAAAGAAAGGCACTAAAGGAGGAACAAACAAGACACATGGAAGACAAATATCAAAATGGCAAACATAAATCTAACTGGGTCAATAATTATTCAATATAAACGGTGTAAAAACTCTAATCAAAACGCAGGGGTTGAGAGACTTGATAAAAAAGCAAGCTCCAACGATGCTGTCAACAAGAGATACAGATTCAAAGACACTAACAGATTCAAAGTAAAAGATGAGAAAAGATATGCCATGCAAACAGTAACTGTAAGAGAACTGGGGTGACTATGTTAACATCAGACAAAACAGATTTTAACACAGGAAATCTCACTAGAGACAAAAAAGCTCATCAGGAAGATATAACAATTACGAACTATATATATACCAAAGTCCCAGCATGATTTTTTACAAATATCTACAAATGGACTCTTAAATTATTTGGAAAGGCAAAAGAAAAACAGCCTGAAATTATTTTGAAAAAGAACCAAGTTGGAGGATTTATACTACCTGATTTAAAGATTTACTATAGAGCTACATGAATCAAGACACTGTGGTATTGGCAAAAGGATGGACACAAAACAGAAGAGAATACGGCCCAGAAACAAAACCAAATTGGGGCACGTGGGTGGCTCCGTCAGTCAAGCGTTTGACTTCGGCTCAGGTCATGATTTCACGGTTCGTGAGTTCGAGCCCCGCGTGGGGCTCTGTGCTGACAGCTCAGGTCCTGGAGCCTGCTTCGGATTCTGTGTCTTCCCCTCTCTCTCTCTGCCCCACCCCGGCTCATGCTCTGTCTCTGTCTCTCTCTCAAAAGTAAATAAACATTAAAAAAAACATTAAAAAAACCCCACCAAATATGCTTAATTGATTTTTGACAAAATGCAAAGGAAATCAACAGAGAAAGGACAGTCTTTCCAACAGGTAGTGCCAGAATCACTGGATATCCAGATGCATAACATAAACTTCTACTTTATTATACCTCGCATCTTACACAAACACTAACTCAAAATGCACCTGAAACTACACAACCTTCTGAAGAAAACAGCGTGAACTTGGATTAGGCATACAGGTTTTCACCATGATACCTAAAGCACAATCCATAAAAGAGACAATTGGTACTCTGAACTTCATTAAAATTAAAAGCTTTTTGTTAGGCGAAAAACACTGTTAAGAGAAAGATAAGCCACACCCGGGACAAATTATTTGCAGATTATATTATTTCCAGAATGTAAAGAACTCTCAAAATTCAGTAATGAAAAAAACAACCTAATAAGAAATGGGCAAAAGATTCAAACAGACATTTCACCAAAGAAAATATATGGAAGGGAAATGAGCACATGAAAAGATGCTCAACAGTAGTTATAAGGGAAATGCAAATTAAAACCATGATGAAGTACCACTACATACCTAATAGATCGTTAAAATAAAGAAAAACTGACGTTACCAAAAGCGCAAGCAAGGATGTGGGGCTCCTGACACCCTCATCCACTGCTGGTGGGGATTCCGAAACGGTACAGCCACTTTGGAAAACAGTTTGGCAATTTCTTTCTTTCTTTCTTTTTTTTAATGCTTATTTCTTTATTTTTGAGGGGGGAGGGGCAGAGAGAGAGAATCCCAAGCAGGCTCCATGCTCAGTGCAGAGCCCAATGCGGGGCTCGATCTCACAACTGCGAGATGGTGACCTGAGCCGAAATCAAGAGTCGAACGCCTAACCTACTGAGCCGCCCACATACCCCAGTTTGGCAATTTCTTAAACATGAAACATATGCCTGCCAAATGCCCCCGTCATTCCACTCTCAGGTATTCACCCAAGAGAAATGACAACTTACGCTTAATACAAAAACTTGCATGTAAATGTTTTCAGCAACTTTATTATAAATGCCCCAAACTGAAAACCCGAATACCTTTCACGAGTGAATGGAGAAACAAACTATGGAAGTAGCAATAAAAAGAAACTGATGCACACATCTTGCGTGTATCTCAAATGCACAACGCCAAACGCCAAGAGAAAGAAGCCATAATTGAAAGAGTACACACTGTATGCAACCAATTTTTTTGAGCCCCCCCCCCCAGTTTCATTGATCTGTTCCACTGTTCTTTTAGTTTCTATTTCATTTATTTCTGCTCTGCATTATTTCCTTTTTTCTACTGGTTTTAGACTTCGTTTGTTCTTCTTTTTCTAACTCCTTTAGGAGTAAGGTTGGGTCGTATGAGATTTTTCTTGCTTTCTCAGGTCTATATGCTTCCATTTATAATGACATTCTGGAAAAGGCAAAACTATAGAGACAAAGAACACACCAGTGTTGCCATGGGTTAGAACTGGGGAGAGGGGATGAAGATAAAGGGGCAAGCCCAAGGGAATTTGGGGAGGTGGGGGGACTTCCTGTACCTTGAATGTAGTGGTGGTTATAAGACCATAGTGGTTGTCAAAACTTTTTTTTTTTTAATACTTTTTGGTTTTAAGTTTATTTATTTTGAAAGAGAGAAAGAGAGAGAGCAGGGGAGGGGCAGAGAGAGAGACAGAGAGAGAGAATCCCAAGCAAGCTCCACATGGACAGCACAGAACCTGATGTGGGGCTCGAACTCATGAACCGTGAGATCATGACCTGAGCCAAAACCAAGAGTAGGATGCTTAACCAACTAGTCACCCAGGTGTCCCAAAACTCCTAAAACTATACACCAAAAGGAGTTAATTTACTGTATGTACGTTTGAAAATAAACTTAAAAACTACAGGCTGGCCTTTCCTTTAGAGATGACAAGTACAAATAAGCACAACTTTCTTTAGAGAGAAGAGCATTCCGGATCCATACCGCAAAAACTCACTACCTCAGAAAGAGTCACCCAAACAGCACGATGGATCAGGACACTTCCTATATATTAAAATACTTCAAAATTTTCAAATCTCAGTAGAGATTAAATGGTATAGAAGCTAATAAGACTATGAAGAAACAAAGTCTCATCCCTTGGAAAGAAGATGACTCACCTCCTGGCAGAAGAGACCCAGTGAGTCCGCATGAAGCTGGGCTATATTGAATTCTCCACGTGAGAAAGCGAATTATACCAAGAGTTTAAAACCTACTCCTTGCCTGAAATTAATTAACGAATTAATTAATGCTTACTCCTCCTGAAAAATTTTCTGACGTCGCTGGTTTATTTTCAAATTCTGACTTCAGGTATTATTTTGTGCTTGTTAGGATTCTCCTACCAGGTTCCAGAAAACTGGAACGAAGGTCGGGGGGAGGGGGATTTCCGATTCTCCATTTTCAATGAACCTGACTTAGGCTTTCACCAAGTATGTGAGTATACCAGTTTGGCATCCAGGAATAAAACCAGATTTGTTCAATATTATTTCACAGAGAACAAACTCTCTCAACCAACTAAAACTGTTAGCTGTAAGTTCCTCATGGATGGATTATCAAGGGCACAGAAATATCATGAGATCATCCACTTGGCATTCCTTACTCTTCCCTCCAGGATGTAAGTGAGAGGGGGGTTTATATAATAATGATCTTGTGGGTATCACAGGCAGGAGGCAAACGAGAGAGGGGACAGATAAAGTGGCTTCTGTGCTTTTCAGTTTCCTCGGCACATGTCCCAGTCAGAGAATCAAAGCTCAACTTTCTTCAGACTGAGCGGCTGTTGCTTTCTTGCTTTCTATGACATCCCTCTGGCTTCGGGCCTGAGCTTTAAAAAAACCAAACCTTAGTTTGGGGGCGGAACTGTGTGGCTCTCTGATGCTTTAAATTAGCACTGAGTTACCGGATTCAGAGAAAACAATGTATTAAAACCTAAAAGATGTGAGAAATCCCCACAGCCTCGAAACAGCTCCTTAGACACCATGAAACCCATATTGTGCCAATCAAGTTGATAAAGGAGAATGCTAAAATTCAGGGAAACAGACTGAAATTTGAAAACAAGGAGAAAGGCAGAACTGAAGTTTTCAAGGAAATGGATTTAAATTTGAAAAAGGAAAGCTGTGATTTCAAACAATAAGGGTGACAAAAAGGAGGAAGAGTGAGTATCTGGATTGGGCACAGAACCCGGGACACCTCTGCGGGGTGGGGGGCGGGGGGAGGAAGCGACAATCTGTGCCAACCTGGCCGCCCTGACGTGGCCTTCACTCAGCAACCAACCCCCCACCCCCACCCCAGCTCCAGGAGGGCCCGCTCAGGAGCCACCCAGATGAGGGCCAGGACGGGTCTGTCACCTACTTGGCAATGCAGCCCCACTCACCCCTCTGCTACCATTTGAAATTTTTGAAAAGTTTTCCAAAAAAAAAAAAGAAAGTCACAATCAAAACAACTTCTTTAAAAACAAAACCTTCCATCTCCTCCAACAGTTTCAGAGAAACCTAAATACACAACAAAATACAGCACCAAGTTTTAAGGAGATTGTAACCGTCTTACCCGAGGTAACGAATTCTGGCTAATGACTAGCTGATACACATCCTGTGACGTCAAAAGAACAATCTGTAATCAGATTCAAGCGCCTGTTTCAGCGGCATCGAGTGCCTCGGCCGTGAGAAAGCACGGAGCGGCACACGGGGACACGTGACACCTGGCAGGCAGGTGGCTTCACCCCAACGCCGCAAGTGCCTGGTGCTGGCTCGGCCATCTGGCTCCTGGAGTCCCCATCCCTCTCCCAGCTCTCCACCTCCGCTCTGGCTGAGTGAGGACTAAACCCTCTCCGGTTTTCCCTGACCTCCAGGAAAGAAGTCCTCCTGCCCAGATTCCACACTTCCTCCCCCCGAGTTCAGGTTAGCCGTTCGGGGTATATGACGTGGAGCCTCTCTGGCACTGACCTTTTAGGCCCTGCTCTCATCTTGGATCCTTCCCTTTCTATTCTTACTAGTTTCATTTAGTTGCAAGTTTTGTGGCTGCATTTTAAAACTCTAATCTCTAGTGAAGTTCAGCCTCTTTACACACTTTTATTCCAAGACAAACATACGGAGTTCTGAGTACTACTATTCCAGGGTCTATACCGGGCTGCAGATTAAAAAAGCAAAAAAACCAAAAACCAGTGACAGTTCTCAAAGCAGAGAGAAACAAATACTCTCTAAGTGCATTTTTACAAGGGGCTTTCAGAGCACCGTGAATTACTGACCGTTTGATCATTTGACCATATTGATATTGATCTTGACCATATTGATCAGTTGAGGCAGGGGGTGTAGGAGAAACAAACAGGAGAAATAGGACACTTTGAATAATTAAGGCAGAGAGTGATGATCAACAGTAAACAAAAACATTTAAACATTATCTGTCACCAAAGTAACGGAGTAAACAACTTTGCAACTTCTTACGTTAATCCTTAGAAGGTCTGTGGCTTCTACAACATCTGATATTTACATACTTCTCATGAAAATAACACAGCTGAACTGCATGACAGGTTTACATCATTTGGATCATACATTGTTATTTCCATTTCAGGTTGTTTGGAGCATTCCTATTTTCTCAGGTGTCACTTTTCACATTGAAAAAAGCCACGTATTTCTTTTACAGGAAATCATGTAGCAATAAAGACACAATGACCGCTACAACTTAAGATGTGTATGCAAGAACTCAAACAATTTTAGGCAATATTCTCATTAGGTGTTTAGGTAGCTTCCAAATGTATGTCCAGTATACATGGATGTACAACACTTAGCTACTGTTTCCAAACACATATGTTGTTCTTCTAGAAGATGGAAAATGTCATTACTGATTTCCATTAGGACAGATGCTCTATCTGCAGTCTTGTTACTTGTCATCCTGAGTTGAAGGTCACATGCACTCACCTGTGACTTGTTTATCCGGAAGAGAGGGGATTGGAATGGCTGACCCAAACTTAACCAGGAGACGCTCATATAACCAGTCAAAGTGCTTATACCTGTGGTTTACAGATCGATTAGTGTTCTATAATGCAAGGGAGAGAGAAGAAAATGTTACCAATGCCAACTATAGAAAATGAAGAAAAAAGCAAAGTGTAGCTGGAACACAGGCACGATTCTGTTTTGATAACTCAGATACTCACAGTAGGTGTTAGCTGATATTCAATGTAGCTCTTCAGACCATACATTTTGGAGCCTTTCCTGGGATCTGCTACCACACAGTCAAACGTAGAGGTAGGATAAACCCACATTGGGCCATAATCTCCAACCTACACAATGTTCCAGGGAGAGGTGATTTTGTTACATGCAAAAATAGTCAATATGCTAGATATAAGTCATTAAAGGATTTTTAGGACTAAAGGACTAGAGGTCCTTTGGAGGATCATTCTTGCTCTTCTCTGAGAAGTTATGTAAACGCTCCCTGTTCCTGATAAGATTATGTATTAAAGAACACACTTGCCAGGACAAACCCTCCTGCTCCCCATGTGGGCATCTCAGGCCACGGAGGAGAGATGTCTGCCTCCCTCTCCTGGGAGAGGGCAGGATGGAACACAGTCTTCCTCTCTCCCATTCAGTGGTCCTAGTCGTATGTGTTGACAGGCTAGTTTTAAAACATTTCCGATCTGTCACACACTGATGGTTTTGTGAAATACAAAATTACACACCTGGATGTCTCAACAACATCAAACTGCCATCAAATTCTTTCAAGGCTCACTCTCATGTTCTGCATGTTCAGTCCTAATTCTTTCTAAAGGTGGAAGGAGGAAACAGTGGGGTGGTGTATCAAACAAAGTTCAGAGGTTATGAGGTCAGGAGGGTGACCAGGGCCCAAACAATCTTACTGGAGGACTAAACGGAAGACCTTGACAAGGAGCTACTATGACTCCTTGAGAGGGAGCTCAGATCCAGAAAACTCTCTGAAAGCTGTGGAGCAGGAGCCTCTGGGGAGTGTCTCTCAGTGACTGAGACCGAGAGAGGTAACTCCGATCAACTAGGGCCCAATATCCAGAGGCTTTTAATTTTCTTAGTGGGTAGAGTTGCTGTGCCTCAAAAGCAAAGAACCACATCTCTGCTTTCTCTCAGTTTTCTGAAGACTTGAAGGCATTTTTCCTCGGCTTCCCTTTTCATGCCAGGAGCCTGCCTGGGCAGGCCCGCCTACAGGGTTCAGGGGCCGTTTCTACCTACAACCTATGGGTCCCTCAGCTCCGTTCCAACCCTTCTGGGCTTGTGATAAAGTCCCTTTTGAGGATCTGAGGGGCAGGGCCGTGGGCTCCAGTCCTGTGGAGTTTTAAATTTAACGAAAAAACAAAATAATGTATGTTCAGAAGTTACATAAAAAAAATCTGAAGAAAAAATTTAAAAATTAAAATAATCTCTAACCACTCAGAAGGTAATTACCCCAAATTTGCTTTGCGGGAAAGGGATAAAAGGGGCTCTTGGTTGCAGCCCTTCTTTCTCGAGTTTCTAGGATTTCAAGCTTTTCAAAGATGTAGGAACACAATAAAAATAAATCCGATGATCAGTTTTGCAGTTCTATCAAGTTTCCCAGGACCCAGAGATTATAGAATGAGACCAGGTGTTTCCACCTCCTATTGTTGGGCCTACGGTGATCACACCCAAGGCCCCCACTCTCACCTCCATCCCTGTCCTACAGTTACTAGGTCAAGTCCATAGGATCAAAAGACAGCCAGAGTTCTCTTTTCCAGAAGTTAGATAATGCTTAGACAGAAAATCTATCAGCAGTCAACATTTGGGTGAAACCAGAGAGCCCGTGTCACATTATGTAATAATCAAGTTATTCTTTGAGAGAGATTCTTAATGGTGTCACCAACTCCCAGTTTTTATTTGCTAGCTCCTTATTGTGACCTGACAGCTGGTTTATTGGAAGAAAAAGCTAACTGTCACCAATGCAGTGGAAAGAACATTTTATTTTGATAATATGCTTGTACTTTGCCAGGGCAGAGACCTAAATATCTGGATTAGGATTTGTTAGCTAAATATATAGGGCTGGTAGAAAGACAGTATATAAAAGATACTTCAAGACACTTTGGAGAAAAAAAATTATTGAACAAAAATATGCTATAGGTGCTGCTGGTTCAATTACTAATAGTCTTAAAAGTAAAAATAAAATATACCTAAACAACATAATGACAGGCATTAATGTATGCTAAATATTTTTAGTATTCTTCCAATACTAATACATATTGTCAGTTACCTGGAGCATTAGATGTGTTAAAAATACCTTCCAAAAGACTAATAACCCTCTAGGCTTTCAAGCATTATAAAAGAGCTTAATTAGAAACGAAGCAAGCAAACAAAAGTGAATGAACTTACAATGATAGGAATTTTCTCTTTGGGTTTTGCTAGTTGCTTGGCCAACAAATACTGTTCCATACCAGGTTTTGCAAATCCGGGAAATCTGATCATGAAGATAAATGCCCGTGAGTCTTACGTGTTTCCTGAGAGGAACTCTCCAACTCTTGTCCACATTTACTTAATACAACAGTTTTAACCTTGTTCTGTCTTTCAGATGTACCAGGACTAGGAAACTGTGGTAAATGAAACCTAATGTAATCAGATTGTTCAATGGCCAATTAGTCATTTAATTAAGCTTTATCTGGTCAGAGAACAGTTTGACTCCAGAAGGTGTGATATTTATGGGTACTCTATTTGCTTAACTGGATCTGAAACACTCTATCACCCCACAAAGAGTGAAGGGCAGCCTAGAAAAACGTCCCCCAGGGCACAGGAGGAGAAAGTACCGAGAACAGCCATCTGAGTTGAACACATGGGCCAGTGGCCACATGCCAGCATTTTTATATCCAAATTAAAGCTGCCTTTTGACATATTCCCTCAAGGAAGCCACAATTATCCAAAAGAAGCTGTCGCTGTCCATAAGTACTTGTGCCATTTCCTTTTGGATTATCTTCAGACCTGGTTTAGGGGACACAAAAGAAAACCGGTCTCCTTAGTAAAGAGACTCCACACACATTCTAAAATTGGAGAAACACTGGAATAAACATATAGCCATCCAAAGTGCTACTTTTTTTTTAAAGATTTGTTTTTATTTTTATTTTATTTTAAGAGGTTTCTTTCTTTTTTTTTTAATGTTTATTTTTGAAAGGGGATGGGGAGGGGCAGAGAGATGGAGACAGCAGCGAGCCCGATGTGGGGCTCAAACTCACCAACTGTGAGATAGACATGGCCTGAGCTCAAGTTGGACACTTAACTGACTGAGCCACCCAGGCACCCCCCCCACCCCTCCCCCGCCCGCCAAAGTGCTAAAGAGGGCAAGATTAATTTGGGTTTCAGAAATGTTTTTAATAAGCAGGAAAAAAAGACCCTCAGAAAGCAAAATACCTATAATAGGAAAAGAAGTATTATTTCTATAAAAAACCAACTACATTACTTGTATTCCACTCAAATACCAAATTAAAGGCCAACATGCTGGTCTCAGGGGCCTGTCTTTTCCTTCATCTTCAAAGGACCTACCTCTATCCTCTTTTCCCTAAGACATCCTTTAAACATAGCTCATACAAGAGAGAACAAAGAGGGGTCTAGGAGCTGGATGGCCTTGGGTTCGAATTCCAACTCCAACAATTAAAAGCTATGTAACCTTTAGAGCTCCCGTCTCCTTGTGTGAAGAATGAGACCAATATGACCTGCCTTTTAAGATGATAAGGGAATTAAATGTAAGAGTTTATATAAAGAGCCTCACAAATATACTCATAAATTAAAGTTATTTCTAACTATGCCATCATCTCTTTGAAAGTATTCCCTACAGCCTCTGGTACAGCTAGCTAGCTCTCTCTGTGCTTCTTCAACATTCTGAGCATACTTCTGCTATACAATTTATCACACTTAATTGCCATCATCCATTTACACATTACAGCCGACCGGAAGCACCTTAGAGAAGGTATTTGTATTTCCAGGACCCAGAGGAGTTGTGGGAAAAATACACTAAATACTTAATGAATTAATGGACTCATCTGGAATAGTTCTATTTAGAAAAAAATTTTTTAATGTTTATTTGTTTTTGACAGAGCACGAGTAGGGGAGGGGCAGAGAGAAAGAGACACAGAATCAGAAGTCAGCTCCAGGTTCCAAACCGTCAGCACAGAGCCTGACACAGAGCTCGAACTCATGGACCACAAGATCATGACCTGAGCTGAAGTTGGACGCTCAACCAACTGAGCCACCCAGGGGCCCCTGGAACGGTTTCATTAAAACAACCTATGCTTCCGCTAGAAAATACTGATGGAAAAATTGAGGAAGTCACAGAGTAGCAATTCCTTGACTGTAAGCTTCTGGGTGCAGAGTCTCATTTCACACTTCCTTTGGTATTCTTAGGGATCACAGCAACACTCTAGGGCCGACTCACTTAATACTTACCAAACAGCAGTGCCATTTACTAATTCTCTGAGTGTTATCAAGATAGATTCTTATAATGCCCAAGTACACTTACATTTCTATTCTCCTTCTCTAGTGTAAGGTTCATGTTCCTGGACTGGAATACAGCTATCATATAAAATGGATTAACTCCTGAAAAATGCTAATACTTTAAAAAGTTTTACAACTGTTATAAGTGAGCCCTTCATACATGAGTCAAGTTAAATAAAAAAAAAACACACAGGATCTTAAACAGCTCTCAGCACCAGAGACAGAGAGAGAGGGAGGGAGGCCTCAGAGGTTCAGGTGCAAATGAGGACTCCTCTGATTTGGTTTCAACCTGAACTGAAATTTTAGAGCAGAAAGCATTTTAAATTAAAGCCATCCCCTTCACTTCAGAGATGAGGAAACGGAGGTTCAAACAGGTCACCTGTCTTCCCCAAGATCACTTGGAAGAAGGGAGCCAGGGCAAACAGAAACAGGGACCCGGGCATGAGACAGAACCTCACTGACTAGCCAGGCACACTTGGCCACACATTTGTTGTAGAGTTTGTGCTTCCTCACTGTCCAAGGGGGGCTTACATGGCAGCAAAACGGGTTTAAATGCACTTGTATTTAGGTTTAAAGAACAGACTAATTTATGTCACTGCGGACCACACTGAGAACTTCCTATTCCACCAAAGGAAACAGCACATAGTCAATACGAATGACTAAGGTTATTATGTGTGCAATGGAGCCTGAAAATACATACTGGAAGAAACTGGAGAGAGAAGTAGGAAGAATGTGTGGCTAGAAGACAGCTCATTTAATCATCTGATGCTATTTAGATATACTAAGGGGAACCTGCACAACTCATATGCAGATCTAGACCTAGATCTTGACATCTAGAAATACAGCAAACATTATGTTTACAACTTTTTCCAGATACGGATTAACATTCCTTCCTAGCAGCTTTGAATCATGGACTTGGAGCATTGAGAAAAAGTGGTCGTAATTTTAGAAAAACCGTATTAAACACACTACTATAAGAAGAGTATTTGAAGATCCTTCTGGAAGTCAGAAATTCTGTCTCCTTCGAGCTACACTGTGAACTACAGACTTATCCAGAACTCTCCCCCAGGAAATCCCAGGGCGCTATGGCCGTATTCCCCCCCTTCCCAGATGCTTTCCTGTTAGGCACTGTGTCTACAAGTACTGTTCCAACACTTTTTTTTCTTCTTAAATCTAAGAGAAGTCTACATGAAAACAAAGCCTTGAAACGTATTAGGCAAGTAGTTGAGAGACTGAGGGATCGACTAGGATCCTGATTAGATCACTTGGCACCTGTGTGAGCTTGGACAGTTCCTTAACCTCTCTGGGCGTCAGTTTTTCCCACAGAAAAACAGAGATTACATGTACCACAGAGGGAGATGGGGGTCACACAGTGCGTACAAACCACGCTGCACAATGCCCAGCACACAGTAAGTGATCAACAAATGGTAAAACATTTAAAAGAGAGTTACTATTATTAATATGATTATATTTAGCTTTCCTGTGACATCAGCAATAAGAACTTAATGTGTCACAGAGCTGACAAAGATAAAAGATGGTATTTGGCAGATGGTTAAATACAACTATTTCACTTTACAGTGAATAAACTTATTTACATATATATTTATAATATATATATGAATATAACATATACACATATAATGTATATATTTAAAGTGAATAAAATTTTTTTTTCTTTAAAGAAGCTAAAGCTGAGATCCAAATCACCACCCCACACTTCACCCCCTTTCAGATTGCTGAAAAGAGGAAAGCCTCCTTGGATCTCCTGTCTGTTTCCGCACAGTGTTCACGGTGCCAACACCCTTCACACCTACTTGTTAAGTGGCAGCTTCATAGAGGAGGAACCAGCCCGGCTGTTGCCTCGCTGAGCAGCCCCTGCCTCTGCTGACTCTGAATCCTTGAAGTAGGGGGCGGCCGCCTTGGGGTCGTCCCAGTCTTCGTCCCAGTCATCGTCATCACCCGCGGTTGCTAGAGGTGGGCACAGAAGATCCCCAGGGAAGAAAAACAAAATACAAATGCAATGACTTAATTTTCTGAGAGTAACTATGGACCGGACCTACGTTAACCAATTAAAGAACAGGAGACAAGGGCGTAGCACAGGATTATAATGCAGACTGGAGCAAAGGCTCTAGTTAGGTTTAAAGCTCCAATTGTGGATTCTGCCTTTTAGTGCAAAGGACAAGTTAGAAACGAGGCTGTCCCTCCAAGTAACTTCAGACAGATGCAGACTGAGAGCGGCTCCGAGGTGTGTACCCAGGGCAAGGCCCACACACAGATAAATCTCGCCTTATAAACTTGCAAATAAGCATTGAATACCTTCTCAGTCACGAATACCGGGGAGTGTGGGGGAGGGGGGCCGGGGGGGGGGAAATGACAGATCTTTGGAAAGAAATTAATATGAACGATAACACTGGGAAAGGGAGAGAGGAGCAGGGTGGGAGTGGAGGGGGAAGGGATGGAGAAGAAACAAGACAAAAGGGAAGTGGCAGTACCAGGAGCCTCATATCCTAACAGTGACCTCTGTCAGGCTTTCCCTTCCTTCCTGGTCCTAGTCTGGGCTTCTGTCTCCCACCCTGAGGGCCTCAGGTATCCTGGGATCTCTACCCTAGCAGTGCCAATGGGAGAAGCGAAGAGACAAATGCCAAAACGAAAAAGAAAGGCACTGAATGCACCGGGAGGATCTGGGCCGAGTACAGAGCCAGGAGTTAGCTGTTGGGTCGCAGCCCGAGCCCGTGTCTCCCGCACCTGCCAACAGCCCAGCCCCGGCTGCCAGCAGGAGCCTGCCCGCCACCCCCGTGCTTCCTGCGCATGGGTTCCCTGCCACTAGCACATTCGTACTCCATGTGACGTGCTCAGACAGGGGCCGTAAAATAATGAGGGGCAGATCTCTTTTTATTTAATTTCAGAAAGACATAAATACCCTTTTTCTTAATTCCTGAATTGTTTCCCCTTCTATAAATTCCTCTTTTGCTTCTGTATTTCCATTAAGGCCTGGGAGTCAAATGAGTAGTTAAGGAAAAAGAAAACAGGCGAGTCAGAGGTTATAAACCAGCAGGTGACAAATTATACTCACTCTGTATATGCAGTTGTTTTGGCCCAAAGTTTTAAAGCAAATGTGTATCAGTTGCTAAGATTCTGGAGTGGGAAGATGCCATTAAAAAACTGAGATTTCCTGTCTCTCTGGGGGACCAGGAGCACGAGCTGGGTCTCCTGCAGTGGCAATCGAGCTAACGGCGATAGGAGGCATGCCCTTCCATCTCAGGCAGCCACTGGGCCATTCTGTTCTGCTTTACAAACCCTGCAAGCATTCGCGACTCCATGACAGATGACAAAGACGGAACTAAAGATTATAATTAACGACTACCCACATTTGGCTCCAGAAATCTAGGTTTGCTATTAGTGAGTAAGAGCATTTGAGAGCGCTCCTTTGATTAAATTCTATTTTTAACTGGGATGCTCTCACTAGTCCCCTTACGGGTGGGCCCGATCACCAGCAGGGCCCTCTTCCTCACCTGGTCCTTGGTAGGCCTGGGGGTGACCAAAGGCAGTGTCCCAGTTATTGGAGGTGTTTCTTTGGGCCGCGGCCCCCTCTGGCTTGGCTCCCCAGCCATCCGTGCTGTCCCAGTTTCCAGATTTGGAAGAACTCCAGGCTGACCAGGGGTCATTGCCACTGCTGACCTGTTGTTAGGGGTAAAAAAAAAGAGAAAGAATATTTATGACTTCTTGAAAACATTACTCAATTCAGTAGGAATTACATAATAATGAATACAACAGGGGTGCTGAAAAAGTTGACATAAATTTAAAACAATTTTAAATTTAAATAAATAAATTCAAATAATAATTTACATTTATTTTTAATGTTTATTTATTTTTGAGAGAGAGAGAGAGACAGAGTGCAAGTAGGGGAGGGGCAAACAGAGAAGGAGACACAGAATCTGAAGCAGGCTCCAGGCTCCGAGCTGTCAGCACAGAGCCTGACGCAGGGCACAAACCCATGAACCGTGAGATCATGACATGAGCTGAAATTG